CCCAGTACGGGTCACAAAGAGAACGCAGCCTTGGATGCAACAGAATGGACCAGCTACAACAGTGACAACTATCGCCCTGCCTCCCAAGCGGTTTATAAGGTATTGACTACGTTGTGATGAGGGAGAGTGAAAATGGATCGCAAGGGGATTCGACATCATGCTGAACCAGTTTGAGTTTGTTGGTTAGTGTCACGACTTCCTTTTTTTGCTTTGAACCTCTCGGGTCTTCGGTACGTCAATGCTGCATCATCCAAATATGCATGCCCTGTTACACCTTCAAGAATAACCAAGAGTTCTGCAAGATGTGACAGATATATGCGGTCGTAATCAAGCTTGTTGGATTGAGCTCTCTCTAGGAATGCAAGTATTTCCTATACTTGTAAATCTGGTGCACTGAAAAGGAAAATTTACTGCAAATCAGTGGCTAGAAAGACAGCAATCACATTTGAACCTAATTTGAAAGTCAAAATAAAGGACGTATAGCCTTCCCCACTAACACTTTTAATATTCACCTCCTCAGAAAGTAAAGACATCTCCATTATCCAAGATGTCGCCTTAATCAAGTAGAAGGAGGAGCGAATAAGCTGTACTGTTTGGGCGGATGTCAACAGCTCAGCTATCACTCCGACATGAACATATAACGCCGCCTGTGCGGGTGATGCAAACCTTCAAGGCGTTTTTGGTACCCAAGACCGATCTCACTTTTTTTATCTGATGCGCCATATGAAAGGGAAGATTGATGCCCTATAATGTTGGTGGGTTCTAATTTAGACAGACTGACATGCGGTCCAGACCAGTTTTCAGACATGCACCAAGTAATGCGAATGAGTGAATTGCTGAGGCTGCTTGAAGCCCCAGAAAAGTGTTTTTTTTTTCAATCTTTCAAGAACGTAGAGTTTCCCCTGTCCCTTTTGACAAAACGATGGCACACATACATGTACATTAGGAGTACTAATAATTACATCAAGGTCAAGGTCAAGCAGACGCCGTAAATACGCTATTATCCAGCCAGCTATCGCGCTAGACATGCACATGCCGTACGGCTTTTCCTACCGACGTCTTTGTCTACTAACTACAGTGGCTGGGAGCTTGACAAGACCCAAACACATCCACATGCCCACAAAGTCGCTGTGGAAGTTAAGAAGCTATTTAAATGAGTCCCACTCGCATCACCTAGCAACTGATGAACAATAGACTTCCGGGGCCAAGCATTCACCCGTGCAGTGAAAACGTGGCTCTAGTTTTCCAGTTTTCGTTAAACAGATGGACAAATCGTTGGATATTTGCTAACTTATCTCCTCTTCACACTGCACAGTTCTAATACACGCACCTCCTCAACTGCCACTTTTAGAGCACTGTGTGCTTTGTGTGTGTGTGTGTGTGTATGTGTGTGTGGTGGACCGTAGAAGTAAGCACTTCGCCACGAATTTTCCATGTACTAAAGAGCAGGCAACAGTTGTGACTGCGATTTCTCTACTCAACACAAATCGATGCAAGTGGATAAGTCTTGAAGGTGTGAAGGAAGAACTTCCACTACTTCAGTCAAGGAGGGCCTCTTCTTGCATGTTACTGGTCTTCCTTCTAACTCTCACCTCTCACAGTCACACTGAGTTGTGAGGAGGTTTGCTATCTTGCCATAATCGGAGGGAGATACCGCCTTATTCTGACCCTTTGTGCCGAATTATACATTGTTATGGTGAGTGCTTCAATAAGCAAGGTATTCTGGGAGCTTTCTGTGGGTGGGCGCACCACTTAAGCACTTGTGTCTATTTCTTGCATGAAAGTTAAAAATCAACCAAGATACATGAATTTCTGGCAAATCAACTTGGAAATTAAACAGTTCGAAGGTAGTGTCTTCAACCAATTTTTGCCTTCTAACCAACTTGTACTACTACTGTGGGCCTAGTGGAGAAAGGATTTGGAGGTGAAAAACAAGACCCATACAGTGAGAAAGACTTACTGTTTTGTCAGCAGGCACAAAACGCAGCAAACGCCTGTCACATGTAGTGGTGACAGCGACACCACACGTTAGCATATCCACACAAATAACTCCATATTTGTTCTCTACTATATATGCCAAAACTTTACCCCATAAACAAGCATGTCTTACAAGCGTAGTTACTCTTTCTGGCATTGACAAGTGCTAAGCACTCAGACTTCCTAATGTGGAAAAACGATGTATAAAATCACACCAGCATCCAATTCTTATGTACCGATCGAAAAGGTGGAACGGTGAATACGCTAATGATTATGTTCACCGTTTTCACGGGAGGATTTGCCGATCACCTGTGGCTAGGTGAATGTCCTGTTACGCGCTCAAAGACTGGAATGTCAGCCGTGCAGTGAGGCGGCCGCGACTACGATAGTGACGACAACAAACGGCGTCTCGTGGCGTGGCCCGCTTCAAGCCTTCGCTGTCACACATGTGCTGACTGCCACTGTTGCCTGCTGTGCCCATTAACGGTGTCTAGGTAGACACGTGACGTGTGCGTCAGCGGTTGCCTCCACTAAGACACACAGGCGGCCGGTGACACTCATTACTGCGTACGGCTCTGTTTTGTCGATGCTAGTGGAATTAGCAGGTCCGACTTGATTCCAACCTCTCTCACACGCTGTGAGGAACCCCAATACCCACTCGGTAGCGTTGATCACCCATGCTCAAATTTGACTTTGAGGTGCCTCACAAAATTTTTTGCCTACTCTTCACGCAGTCTCATCTGGGTGGGATGGCACTTCAGGGATTATTTCACTGAAAGAATGAGCAAGCTACCATTACCCATGAAGGATGATAGTAACCTCTCCGAATGAGTGATAAACGTAGACTCCCGCCACAAAGTGGTGGTCACCAATGGGTAGGCAGCAAGGAAAGCAACTCTACGTGTATATTCTCAGGCTGGTGCCAAACGCGACATCAAAACTTGACAAGAGCTCTTTTAGGAAAAATGTTTTTTAGTTGTTTTTCAAAGCTCCTGGGAGCAAAACGCTCACATGTTTTCTGTTTTCATTCCTCATTCCTTTCGAATCCCCGCTTATTGTGAACAATTACTACTTCTAGGGGCCTCAGGTACGGCGCAGCAAGCCGCAAAAAAGTGCAGTGTGTAGAATGCTGAAGTATTTTCTCTTATATGTGACCATAAATTTGCGTTTTCATATGTGTGGTAATGTGATGCATTTTTTAACTGAGTGGTCACTTCACAACCCGACGTGGTCATAGGGGTCCCCTGTCTCTTCTTCACTTTAGAAGGTAGTATGCCATTTCGTACTGCTGTGATTTTATTACGACTTCGAGGACGATTTGAGATGCTACCTCTGTATATCCGTATGTTTCATTACAATTGGGATTCAATGAGTGCAAAATCACAGTTGACCAGAGGCATGACTCTTTCATTCCTTAAATGTACTTGAGTCTATGGGACCCCCTTTCAGTGTGGTCATACATGGAACTGCTTGTGTTTTGCATGGAATCCCTTCAGCCTGTGCGTTTGCTTCAGGTGATTTTCGGAATGAGGAAGAAAAGTGAAGTCGACTTACAACTTGTGCAATAATGCCCACCATTATGAATTCACCTTTTGCATCCTCACCTAGGAGAACAAGGTGGAATAAGATAAATTCCAAACCTGATGAAAAAATATTGGATTATTTAATGTCTTTATAAGAGAAAGAGATGAATACTTCCAGCTTATCCGTAGATATCAAGCGAATTCGTTCAATCATTCAAATGATTTACCTTATTTTCATAACATGGCGTAGGTGGTAAGGCATAAGGCAGAATCGCGTCTGCAGTCCACCACGCACAGACAAAGCAGGCAGTGTTCCAAGGGTGGCGGATAAAGTGGTGCGCGCAGTAGACGTGGACAGTGGGAAGAGGAATGTGAGTGGAGGAAGGTTGGGTGATAGCCATTGAAATGTTCCCTCGTTTAACGAATGTCCTAACGCTAAAGCCACGCTTTTCTAGTGCGGGTAAATGGATGGTCAGGGAAGTTCATTACTCGTCATCGGGTGCTAGGTAGCTTCAAACAATTTGATGAAATAGTCTACTTTTATAACTATGTATTTTGACATGCCTTAATAACCAAAAAATAGCAATCTCGGCCATGTGGCAACAATTGCTGAGGCTAAAGTAACTAACAATCAAATGAAGCTTGCAGATTAAACCCAACGATCGCTTTTGCGAGTGCACATTTTCCTTTATTCCGGAATTCGGAGGCCACAGAATACCGAAAACAGGTGCTCCATGACTGGGCATCGCAGTACACATTTTTGAATACGCCATTTTAGGTGACGGACAGGCATATTAGAATAGCGTTTTGACTACGCGGACAGCACTGGTTTCAGAGGAGGAGGAGGAGGAGGAGGAGGAGGAGGGAGGGAGGGAGGGAGGGAGGGAGGGTCAGACTCTGATCTCCATAAGAATCAAATTATTTGTTAAATCCCACATTTAACAGTACATGCTACCTTCCTCTAATTACTCCTTTAAATCTAGGGACATACAAGTGGGCGTAGAAGGGAAAATGTAAAAATAGTCCACTAATGGCACCGTCAGCGAACTTTTCGTTCTCCACCATGGATGCGGACTTCTACAATCGCCTCGAAGGCTTCATGTCCAATCTCGGGTCTTAAGCTTAACCGCAAGAGGAAAAGAAAGCAGACCTTACGCGCATTTCTGCAGAACATATTCCCGGCAGCCCTAAAAGTCGCCAATAAACCAAATCCACTTACAGGAAGAAAAGACTCCAGCCAAAGGGTTCCTCTGTCGTGACAGCAAAATGAAGATGGGGGAGAGGGGAAGAAAGGAGGGACTATGCAGGGAACCTACAAGGACTGATAAACCGCGCTCTCTATTACAAAATACAATGAGTCAAATGTCTACCAACTTGATCTAACATAAAAAACAGTCTGCTCTATCTCTTTGATGCGTCAGTCAAATGTAACCCCATTGTTCATCTCCCACCTATTGATTAGCGCATGCATTTGAACCATGAATAGGATCACCTGTCTCGATGTCTGAGCGAGAGATTCTCAACAATGCAGAAGGTTGGTGGTGGCAGTGGTCTCTGCAAGGTCCCGGAAATTTCGCCTTCAAGGTATTCTTCATCGCTGCGCTTGTCTGTGCTGCCCTGTCAGCAAGTGCGGAAATCTACGTCGACTCGTACGACAAGCACACCTTCCAGGTGTACGTAGCACAAGACGCTCATAAAAATCACTCCAACAGTCGAAATAGCCGCCCTGCTCTCACAGTAAGCGTTTCTTACTTGTTATTCCATTGTTGATGAGCATTTTTGGTAGACCTAGATAGGAGCTGGGACTCCTACTGCCTTACTCACTCCCAACTCTGAAAGGGTTTAGAAGATGGGTCCGAAAAACATTAGCCTTTTAAGTTGATAGTGGCTCCGTGTTTTGACTTTTACAACTCGGCAAACGCCTCAATGGTTCGTGCTCTACCGAATGTCATGCGCTAAAGTACGACATTCTCTGTCTGTCCATCTGCTTATTTATCTCCCAGTTGGCTTATCGCTCTTCCTTGATAGTACGAGACCCGAAGAGGTTTCTGGTTCCAGGAGGACAGGATTTTGAGCCTTGACAACCAGGCATGGGGACATGTGACACTGATAGGTCACCTTTATTATACGTCTCGCAATCTCGTGGCTCACCATTGTGATCCCTCGAATGGTGAGGCGTCCGCACTAACCACCCACGTAGTGGTGGCAATGCTGCTATGTGCCATCTTCCTCCTTCTCCTCTCCCTCCTTCATCTGGGGATGTCACTGCGTAGAGGCTGTCCAATGCTACTGATGCTAACTCTGAGCTGCAACTGCCTTTTTACTGCTCTGGTGGTGCGACTTCTCCGCGGTCTTGAAATGCACGCCTGTCTGACTGAGCATTCGTGGCAAAGACTGCCTGCACCACGTCTGCAACTCAGAAAAAACATCTCCATCGTGTGCTTCCAGGAGACCGCCTGGAGTCTTGACACAGAGAGCGCCGGTGTTGAGTTTCTCTTCTTCCGATTCAGTGGTCTCATTCTCATTCACATTGCTACTGCACTCCTCTTTTTCTCTTGGGCTTTTGGTACTATACACACGAACGGCAATACAAACGTGAGTGTTTGAACTAGCATTGTGTCCTCACTACTCTGTCTGACAGAACGCAATGATGCTTCAATTGGAACCGCCATAATCTGCTTCTTTATGCGTGACAACCAGTTCATCTTTTGACCTCGGTACTGATTAACATTTCAGATGCTATAAATTCGACGCACACTCGCACAATATACTTCTGACTGAATGTTCTCTTTAGGTGACAAGCGGCTAACCGCAGGACACTGGTCCCTAGGGAGAAACGAGCTCGAACCCTCATTGACTCAGTCTTCCCGATCAGAGGGCCTAGTGGCAACGATGGGATGCGGTGTAACGTGTTCACAACTTCGTTCATCCACCTCCGTCTTCAGACTCCTTGATCGGAAAGACTGAGTGGGTTGGACAATCTCATGCTTATGTCGAATAGGGAAAGTTTGCAGCATGTCAGAGCATATGGAGAGGGAGTGGTGACGTCCGCCCAGCCATGGGGTTGGTGTAAACTTGCTGCATGCCACCTAAAAGGTCACTTGAAACAAATATAAGTTACACTTCTGTCGACGAATTTTCCCCTTTTCAGAAATAATACAAAATGTAAAGATTCTTCTACTTTGTCCTAACATTAGGCTTTATACCTTACTAGAAAATGGTAATAAATTTGGAAGTTTTTTGATAGTTGGCCACTTTTTTCCAGATTGCAAATAGAAATGTGACAAATTTCCCACTTACATTTACAGTTTTACTGACCGATACATTTATTTAGAACTTATATCCAAAACATTTTCAGCAGAGTAAAATAAATTTGATCCGCTTTGATGGGTTGGTGCTAAAGGCTGTGAAGTGCTGCGGGTCCTCAAAGAAGCCCAAGAGTGCTACCACTTGGCGGAAGCCGCGCTAGCGGAGGAGCACTCGGAATGGCAGTTGGAAGCCCAAAGTGGGGGTAAAAGGCAGACGTGGGCGTCAGGTTATGCACCATCTAATTGACACTGCTGGTTGCGAGGTGTTCAAATCGGTTTGACCACTGCAAAGGGTCAAAAGTAATTGCGAGACCAAAGATTTAAAAGCCACTTCACCTGTTTGGTGGGTCTTGTGCTCCAATTGGTATGGAGCGCGCAGTCCGTCTTGGCTCTTCACAACGGCGCAGTGCCAAGACTGAGCGATCAATCATCCACCCAAGATCGCAGCAGCAAAGTTGCTCACACTATTTCGTCTCTTAAATAAACACCTTGTTCTCCATACAATACCGTGGTCGCTCATCAAAGCCTAACACCTTGCGAGAAGAGCTGGAGCTGTAGTCCCTACCGAATACGCATCGTTGTGCATGTTTTCTCCATCTACCCTTTTTCTGAAAAACTGTAGACACAATGGGCGGAATATGTTGCAGGCCAGTAATGTTAGCAGAGGACGTGGAAGAGCCCAACTTGTTAAAGCCAAATTTTTCAATTTTTTTATAGATTACACTCGTCGTTACTTTGTGTCTAAGCTTTATTCCAAAAATGTGCCGTGCTTACTTCCCACTCGCCTTATTCGTCTTTCAAATGATTGCGCAACGGCGATTTATTGCATGCGATTCGCTTCATCATCATGGCTATCCTAACAGCGCCATTGGATGCAAGTGTTAATGCGGCTTTCTGTTTACGCGTCCTTTTTAGCAACCACGTGGCTGCGGTAACACGTCCCCATGCCAAGTTGCACCCCCAAATGTTTATGCAGCATAGCACTAGTAGGCGTCAGTAGTATATGCATCAAAGGCGGTGGCCTCCATTCTTGTCGCTGTCACCGAGATGAAGGAAACTGCCGTTTCTTCCTTGCCTCACAATTCTTTTCCTGACCCCAATTCATTAAGCCACCAAGTACTAATTCCCTGCCTTTCAGTGCCTTCCCACATTATGATACCCAACTCCCCTTGAAAGGGCACATGCACACTTCCAAATCATAAAATTACATCACGGAAAAAAATACCTCAGTTTCTTAATTGGAGCGATTGAACTTTGTGCTCTTATGTTGACTGTAGTGGGGGAGGGGGGAAGAAGGGGGCGCCGAAAATCACAGAGAGACCCCATCTCAGACCAACACTCCACCGATAAGTGGCCTTGACAAGCCAATCAAATTCAAGTAGTCGCACAAGTGCCTGATGGAATTGGTCTGCCAAACGTAAATGTAGGAGTGTGGAGGTTTAAAACAATAGATTCGTTACGTTTCATTTTCCTGTGAAGTCACTTTTGAGGGTCTGATTTCCACAGTTATCACCTAGTATGGCTGTTGACCTGTTCTTTGTTTTAGTCAGCTGAGCCGCCATGTTCAGCCCAATTTTGGTGGTTATTCGAGAACTCAAACGTGGAAGAAGCAGAAGTACTTAGTATCCGGGATTTATTCGTAGACATGCGAATGGTATGCAGTATTTTGTCTATGCCCCAACTCAAAGATGGGTGAAGGCACATTGTTGCACCATGTGCTTTAATAACACGGCGCAATATTGCGCAACAAACTCAACGAGTGAAACAATCCCAATGCATACTTTTGGTTTGCCAGTACTTTGTTTGTAGCTACGTTGATAAGGGCGTGTACCAATGGCTTCTGGAGGATTGATTGTCTTTCCCTCAGGAGCAGATTGCTGGTTATATTAGAGAGTGTTGACTCTATTTCTCCTCTACTCATAGCTAAAGGACGCTCTTTTTACTGCAGTGGGCTGGCACTTGTTTTAATTTGTGTTCAGCTGTGCGGCCTTTTCGTTTCCTGTGGAGTGGCCTACTGCTTTAGCGGCACGAATATCCGCTTGGCGCCACTAGACACTGCATCACGCCGATTCTTCTCTGTGGTACTAATAAGTCACTGTAGCACTTACACAGAAATAGCTTAGACGCTACACTCATACGCTTCAAGTCGTCCTTTTGACGGTTGTCTTGGCTTTTATTAAGGCGAGTTTCTTAATAAGCACAGTCAGTACCTCGGTTTCACTGGAATATTCACTTGACCAAAACACCCACTCATGCGTGGAACACGCCATCTCATGGACCGAATGCAAGTTGGAGACAGGTGCAAACGCGCAATGGCCCGCATCAACACGCACGCTCCTTAAGCTGCACGAAGTGCTCCCATTTAGAGAAGACAACAACAACAACTTCACCTCACAGACGCAGGGAGTGGTTCACCATTCGCGATAGTAGCACAAAATTCTTCGGTTTGCGTCCACATTCCAAAGGGAAGAAAATATGGCACATTTCCAAAAGTTGATTGCATCAGACGATGGAGAAAGTGTTCGCCTACACCAAGAGGACCCACCGTTAAGTTAAAGACACTTAAAGATGAGTAGCCAGATAGCAATATGACGCTGAATGTTTAGTCAAAGAGGAGAAGAATACACTGATTTGCGATGGGCATGCAGCCCACCTTTGACAACTGAATCTGGTCCGGCTGATTCCTTTACTATTGACATCTCATTTTGCACCCAACTGAACGCCTGGATCAAGAAGCTACATGAATGTCACCCGTAGCTGAGTTGACTTTGTGAAGAAGGTTAAGAAATGTGTGCAAGTATCTGTTTTGCATAGATTCAATCAAAGAAGGCTCTAGACATCAGATTTGAAAGACATGGAAGAAGCCATTTACGGATTCCGCGGAGATCCACAATGGATGAACCGTCAAACGTGCATCATCTTATAGCAGTTACCTCAGCCACTTTTTCTGCCAAAAGGTAACTTAGAGCTGCAGCGATATCGAGCCTTAGACGGCTTACCAAGTTTAGCATGGAGGCGCTTCCCCATTTGAGGCAGGATGAACAGTCGGGCAGTTAGAAGGAGAAATATGTACCAAAGTTGGTTTCTGCAAAAGAAATTTTAAAGTTTTAGGTCAAATGTCTCCACTTTTGGAAGTATCAATTGTTGAGCATCATCCAGCCCTTGGGAAGCGGAAAACCAATGCCCATCCCTTTACAAAGAGGCCAAAAATATGGGTCGGAGTCCAGCGTCTTCTCACCGCCCCATTGGAAAGCTTAGTTGGTACTGGATGGTACTGGCTTATAGCATTGACAACGCTGTAACGGTAGAAACATAAGTGACCGATGAAATTGTTGAAGGCGATGATTATTTAGATGCTTCTTGCTTCTTCCCAGGTTGTACGACTCCCTTCAGTGGCCTAGCCTTATAATCATATTCCAAGACTGTCCCACCGCCTGCCATGGATACTAAAGACACTACAGTAGAGTAAGCGCTGCAGAGAGTATTGGAGGAGGAGGAGGAGGAGGAGGAGGAGGAGGAGGAGGAGAAAGGAAGGGAGGCGGGGGCCGCATATCCGAAAACAATAATAAAAAAGAACGCAACCAGGGGACGGAAGAGCGCTTCCCTGATACGTAAAAAGTTCATTAAAGATCTCTAGGTCATACTGACATGTACTCATGGGGGGTTCACACGCCTGGTGAGATCCACTGGATTTGAACCAATAGCCGAGATTAAAACTCATAGACGAAATTATCGATTTTTAAAGTCTTTTGGAGACCCAATTGGTACATTTTGAGTAGCAAAGTTTGTTTGGGTCCTCCCTAAAATCAGGGGTAGGCAAAGCCTTCACCCTCTATGGGCAAATTATCCCCCCAAGGTAGTGCTCAGGACTGTATGGTTTACTAGCTAGAGGCCAGGAGGTGGTTAGATGAACCGCGAGGATAGATAGGCAACCGGTGTCACCTGACACACACACCCGTTTGACTTGGGCTAATATCCGCCACAACAAGTCAAGGGAGATAGGTTCCATCCAATGCTATGCTTCTCATCACCCTAAAAGGGGCGACTATTCTCTGGCCCGAACAAAAAGGGCCATCTCAACCGATTTGCTAGCGACTGTGCTAAAACATGCTTATTTACAAGACCACAAACGGTAACTCCGACACAAAGGAGATAACATATAGGAAAGGAGTGGTTGTTTTTAATGAAAAAGACAAAAACCAACGATAACTAAACGGTTGATAGCCTCATTTAGTCCGTATGGCCCGTCTCTTCAGAAGCATCGGAGAGAGCAGCGTTGTGGACGATACCTGAGGTCTGGCCAATCAAACCAGCAGTAGCATCGAGTAGATTGATGGGCGTCTTTCCATCGGTGATGAGAGTGCTCTTCAAATTCAAGGCTTTCAGCATCCGCACATCACGCTCCACACCTGCGCAGGCGATGTGGCGCAGATTCTCTGAACCAATCGCCTGAACCCTTTTCAGGTAGAATTCTGTCTCCATCTCAAGTTCCTGACGCCTACGTTCCAGTGCAAGGTCGTTTTTCTTCTGCACAAACTCCAGCTCCAACTCACGAGCTAGCCTCAAACGCTTTATTTCAGCCTCCTACACAGGGAAAGTGGAGAGGAGATTAGCAGTGGAATAAACGAGGGAAGCATCATGAGCTGCGCAACAAACCGTTTTGATGCTGTCCGCCTCCGCCTCCAGGCGCGCTTTCTCCACCTCGGCTTGACTGGCGATTCGCATTGCCTCCGCTTTGCTTTGAGCCTCCGATTTAGCCTGTCCGGTGCTTTCAAGAGTTGCTAGCTGCACCTGCAGCTCCAAGAGACCCTTTCTTGCTTCCTCAGCTGAGGCCTCGTCTTCTATCTTCTGCCGCTCCAATTTACCCCGTGCCTCTTGCTCCAGTCGTTCTGCCTCATGACTGAAATAACGAACACCAAGTAAGGTAACAAAATACACATTTTTAGTGAGATGAGAACGAGAATGTGGGTTACCGAGCAGCGGCCTCCTGAGAATTGCTCGTTATCTCAATGGCCAGTTGAACCGACTTCATCAGAGCATCACGAGTGCGCTGGTCAACAGGCTCTACCGATTGAATATCCACACTTGTAACCACGAGGTTATTTTGTGGGAAAAAATATCTTTCACACATTTCGCCAGCGGCGTTCCTCCCGAACACGGCTTCACGAATAATGTTTGCCGAGTTCTGAAGAACGAATTATACAACATCACCATGTAATGCTTTTGTGATACCAAAGCACTGGTGGCATTACACAATTTACCTTGTGAAAGACGTCAAAGTTAACAGAAGCAACACTGCCTCGGACGCGAGCTGCTATGGCCTTGCAAAAGTCACCGATGAAGTCCGGCAGAGAAAAAAGTTTCGCCGCTTCATCGTCAGCTCTCTCCGGCGAGATCTCAAAGTGCCAGTTGTAGGAGAGTTGGATGGAGAGGCGAGCGTGATCCGCAGTTTCCACGATCAACACGTCAGAACAGAAATCGGGTCCAAGGAGGAGACAAATTGAACGAATCACATTGGGGCGTTTGGGTTTGCCACCACTGAGACTCAACACAGTGAACTCTTCGTCTGGATCCAGCATCACAAGTTCTGGACCGAAGGCAAATCGAGCGCGTTTACGCTTGTAGTCATAGATCTGTGCAACCGCATTGTGGGGTACTCGATAGTTCACAACTCGTGTCGGGTCATACTTGGGCGATTTCGGTTCTCCTGCATCCCCTCCTCTCACTGCTCTTCCACGACTTGCAGCGACGGATCTATCAGCTAAAGGGTCTTTTGGCGATAGAAGTAATTCCTCCACAGCTGCAGGCAAAGTCTTCTCCCAAAGCTCCTCGTTTTGGGTGAGCATATATGTTGAACCGACTACAGACCGCACCTTGCCCGTGATGCGGTCACGAACGTAGATGCCCTCGTTGTCACCAAGAGGAATCGCCTTTCGTGTGCTCACGATCTCTACTTCAATCGGCGGAACGTACTCCAGTGGGCCAACCAGCATCCACTCCTCACCTGCTGCGCGTTGCTGTCAAAAGAAAACCAGGTAATCAATCAATTGGACTGATAGACAAGTTTCCAAGTAATCACGAAAACCAACCTTATCGCCATCCATGAAGGTTTCCAGAGCTCTGATAATTAAACCATCTTCCTCGCCTAGGATATAGACGTTCTGAATCCCCTCAAGAAGACGTTCGCCCGGCAAAAGGAAGAAGGTTTTCTCGCCTCGCACAAGCATCTTTTTTCCAACACTCGGCACACCCTTTTCATCCACAGGATCACAAACAACACAGTAGTTTTGTGAGGTTAAGATGATGGGCTCCGCTACACAAACGACCTCCTCGTTGACACTTGGAATGTGACTCTCGGTATCCAGATACGTAATTAGCCACTCCTCACCATGGCGTCGTTTGCGCCCAAAATCATCGATGTGAGATTTTAAGGCTCGAACGTGGAGAGCGTGCTAAAGATTTTCAGTGAAACAAAACGCATCTGAGCAAGAATCACTCAATAATAAGTCTAAGAGCAAATTCCACCATCTCACCTTTTCATCCAAATTGTAGGCATGATAAGTTTCTACACATTTTTCGTAAGCCCCAACCATGTAGGAACCTGCTTCTTTTACCAGCCATCTCTCCCCACAGACACGTTTTCGTCCACTTCTATCAGTGAAATTCATCAGAGCTTCAATTAACAGTGCCGAATTGGGTAGAATCATTTCGGCCGAGCGTTGAGACAGAACAGTAACCTCCTTTCGAGGTTTATAAACACCTTTAGATTAAACAAAGAGATTGAAAAAACATGTCAAGAAAAGGGTCAATGAATCTGAATTTGCTGACTAAGAAGACCTACCCGGCCCTTCAAAAAGCCACTGTTCACCCGGAATCCGTGCATTCCCATTGTCATCAGTAAAAGCAACAATTGCACGCAGAAGCAAGGCTTCATTAGGAGGCAGTATCTTCAAAGGAGTGACTTCTCCCTGAAGTTGTTCTCCAGGATATAAGGGGAAAGGTGGTTGCGCAAACCGATACTCTTCTTCACCATAATCGAGGACGACCTGGCCACTTTCTGTGATTACTTTCCCCTCACCATCTCTCTTCACGGGATTGAGAATAATACAATACTCCTTAGCGGTGACCGTCACCATTTTCGCCGGCATTTGCACAATACTATAGGGGGAATAACAAATGGAATGATCGTGAATACCTTTCATGATCTTTGCGAATAAATGTCAGTGGACCAGTAACGAGTCTTGTTATGTTAGTGTTCCTGTCAAGAACATGAAGGTACTGAAACGGTGGTACGGGAACGACAACATCTGAAACCGCACTTGAAGAGGCCATTTTTGAACTAGGAGGTAAATGTCGTCAGTGCCTTTTAAAGAGCCGCCTAGCCAATAAGGCGCAAGTGGCCTTCCTCATTAGTATTATTGGCCTAGCAAAAAAAGGGTTTAGGAAGAGTGGATCTGCATTAATTTCCCTGCCTTCTCCAAAAAAATTGTGTATTCGTTAATTATATATTGTGACGATTTAGGATGCTGGACCTTGCGAAGTTTACGCTAACACTGAGATCATTTGATGAGTATAGAAATTGTAGCTATTCTGAAGACGAAGGAAAAACCAATACCCAAGCAGAATATACATGTTTTGGACACAGGAGGCATTGCAGCCTGGAAGTTAGCTCACCCAGTATGGTACAGTGGTTAGGTCAAGAGTAACTCTCCACCAAAACAGAGTTAAACAACCATCGTATTGCATGCAAACTGCCTTTCGGAGAAAACTTCAGGCATTTTTATCATTTTTAAGAAAATTAGCCGCCTTTTCATCAGGGCTCCTACTGCTCTAATGATTTATCCGTCTTTAGGTAGGCTTTGGAAATTGTGGCACAAAATGATCTCCCTTCCGTGTGGATTCATGCAGTATCCTATTACTTAATTTGGCAGCTTTTAGATTTTCCCAGTTTTCACTGTCAAATGTGTTTATTTAGTGGCTACCTGTATGCCTCAGTGCGGTGGACGTGATTCAAAATGGTGCTGGCAGTGGACGTCACCCCTGCCGTGAACTCCTGTAGGCCCAAATGTGGCGTCCCGAGACACCCTGAAGACGAAAGAAGACACAATACTCGGGCAGAATATATATGCAGCACAGAGTATGTGTTTGGGCTACAGGCATGGCTCGAAGGCCAGCCCATCCAGCGTGGTACAAGAGGGCCAATCCAAGGCACAAAAGTGGCGCCTCGCCAATATCGAGGGACAAACCACTACCGTATTACACAATTCCTTCATAGTCGACAAAGACATTCCCGCTTACGCATAGTTTATTTGATAACGTAATAAAGCCAGCCAATGTCGAGCACGCACCTCACTCTGCAGAAACCAGCTATTCTGCGCACACTGAGCCAAGTCACTTGGCCCCCGACTACTGACTTTTTGACTTTTTATAAGTTTGTTTTCGACCAAGCTTCGGGTACCAGAGAGGAACGTGCTCGTAGATGGCCAGTCATTAAAATGACTGTTAGCCCAACTTGCAACATGTCTGGAGACCCATTCCGGTGCGATGATGCAAAAAAGCGGACTTCAGCCACTTGTAGCGACTACCGTCTAGGCAGACGAAGTAATTCCCAACTTGCTCCTTGTTTTTTAAATAGCACCCGGCCAAGCCTCCTGAAACAACCTAGGCAACTTTGACATGAGGCCGTGCTTCCGGAATGCCTCAATCTCACTAAATAGGAAAACTCCACAAACACGCACACACGTGGGTGACGTTGATAGGTAAAGACAATAAGACCGAAATGAAAGACGGTGGTGGGTGCTTGCGGAAGAAAGAATGAAGGAGTGGTCTAGATGAAAAACTTGACGCCCTCTCCACCGTCCATGATCTCGGCTTTGCCGTGCTTCTCGAGGTAGCGCAGTGCCTCTGTGATAACGGCACGATCAAGGCCGTGGAAGGGCTCACCCTCAGTGTCATCACCGTCCGTGATCTCGTAGATGGTGCACACCGTATTGCCACGGCCTGTCGCTCGCACCCACTTCTCAATATCAGCCGCCCAACTACTTGCCTTGCGCCACTGTATGCTCGCGACTTTGTGCGATCTGTCATTTATGCAAAAACAGGCACCTTTAACTGACTGAACAATCCAACCTCCATATCTGGCGTGACATTCGCCAGTCTGCGATAGCTGGTTACATAATATCATGCTGTAGAAAAATTGGCTGCGCGTAGAACAATACAACAGCTGCAGCATCCTCTTGACCTAGGGGAAAATACACTTGACGTTTTTAGATGGCAACAGTTAAATCAATCAGTCCAGTGGAGCAAGTATTAGTGCCACGTTTGAACAACAAAACATCAGGGCTACATTCCTTAATTTCCATCCTGAGGCTCTGGTAGCGAACGTGTCATCTACGATAACTAGCCACCAAATCAATGTCCGATCTCAAATTCTAAGGGAAGAAAAACGTCGGATTTCGTGCAGATGATCAAAGTCCAGGCTCAAACTATCAGCATGAATGCACAAAATGCAAAAAGTCTGGCATTGTGGGTGATTTTCTACCTCCGATATTAATTTATGTAAGACCAGAGGCAGGAAAGTTAAGTGATGCATGGATGGGCGTGAACGCCCAGTCCATTTTTATACTGGACAAAAGTTGATGCAGTGAAACCTCATACATTAATTTGTTAGACACAACTCTTACACAAACTCTACAGACTCCCGAAAATTGAACTAAGGGAAAAGGCCTATTCTCTAGAGCTAAGCTAGCAAGACTTTCCAAAAACACGACACATTCGAACAACTGCCAAATTCGTATGGTAGCAGGTGCGCGGGCGAATAATAACATGATTTAAGAACTTAAAAAGAAGTACCTTAAGTCCCCGATAAAGAAACAACTTCCGATGTCGGTCGGAGAAAGTCAATAAATGACACATTTGAACGAGCAGTTCAAAAAATTTGCCATAATATCAGAAGCAACCCCATACCTGCCAGCGAAAAGACCAACACCTCCAACCACAAAATGTGTTTCCGGCATCAAGGCATTGCGTATTAATCCTTTAAAGCCACACAAACTTCCACATTGGGTTAAACTGCACTATGGATAGTTACCGAGTGCTAGTGATTAAATACCTGCAATTGTGGGTAGACTGGATCGACACGAAGCAAGGTATAAAATCCCCGACGTTGAGAAGGTATGAAATAGTGTTTTGGTGGATTACACGACCAACTATTCAAATCATGAAATACGATCATTCCGTAAGCAATTAAAGTCAACAGAGTGACATGCCCGCCACCGAGGACTTAGAGGAAAAATGACCACCAGAGACCGGACGTCTTTTCTGTTCTGACATGCCATTAATACATGCAATAACGAGATAACCGCTTCAAATACTGCTACAAAAACAAAAAAATGCAACTTTATCCAGATCGAAAGGCAATTCGCAACTATTTAATCATTTTAAGCTCGTTCAGTCTGTTTGCAACACAATATGGTGTAAGCAGCCACTATGAAACGATCAAGAACACGCCACATTAGTGTTGCCTGGGCTCAAAATCGAGGCATCACGCATACATGAAAATGACAGTGAAAGCATTGAAAAATAGTTACCAACACACCTATCTTGCCATTCCAAGTTGCCGCGTCTGTGCAGTTCATCAAAAATGGTCTGAATGAGTTGTGGATTTGCTTTGCGGTTGATTTTTGCATTACTGAAGAGCTCACACCGGGAAGTCATGAGAGTGGATACATCGACAGAGAATAATTTTTTGCTCTGAAAATAGCTTAACACCAATTGGCACCAGGCATCCATTTGCTTATGACGGGTCTCCTCATTCGGTTGGAGTGTAAAGAAGGGTGGAAAGTCGTACTGCCATGGCCAGGAAAATTCCTCATTTGCACTTGGCATTATCTGCAATGAAGGTATGTGGGGAGTTTTGTAATTCCGGGTTGTTATTGCTTGTTAAAGTAGTTTAAAGCGCCAATGAGTAAAAGCTGCACTGAAATCTAAATGGCATATAGGGTAGCAGATGTAACTAAGCCCAAGAGTTTCGACAAACACAGCGACTCGCGGACACGGGATAAAAAAGTTTGCTTCAAACGCAGCAGCAAACTCATTGTAAAGTGAGATGACCTTAAGTTACATGAAGCAGCAAATTACTTCGTTTCATGTAGTCCACCAGAGGAGCTATGTACTGCAATCATTTTGCTGGTAATGACTAACGCCCACGTATAGCTGAACTAAATGCTGGAAATCATCCCAACCAGATGTAAAATATGACGCTTCTGGACCAATCAACCGACGTGCAAAAACAGGCAAATCTAACACCGACCTTTGATAAGAGGGGTTATAAACTAACAAACTTTGACCTTGAACTGTTAACGGTAGTAGTAAATAAAGGCCATTTATTGGATATAATGTCCTTATAATGCAAGTTACTGACTCATAGTGTCTTAAAATTAAAAAAGCACTTCTATCATGGAATCATGTTAGACAAACTGCTGCCCCACATTTTCGAAAAAGAAGTGCATTGTTTTGACCTAACGGTAGTTATATCAACTGTCTTAACGATCGAGCTCATACATTTGGGCCCATTATTTGTGAGAATCAGGATGTAATTTTTGATTGACACATGCGAAACTAAATCTTATTTTTTCAAACATTTAAAAGAACTTCTCATGGCAGCTTTACCACTATTGTTTTTAAAGACAAATTCCAGGAACAAAGGTAGTGCAATGGGCTAGTGTTACTCAAAATACTCTACACAAATTGCTCCAGTTGCTCTTCATGTGTTTTGCAAACAACATTATGTGTTTAAAACAATTCTGTGACAACAGCACTCTTTGAGGACTTTTTTGACTTTTTTGAATATACTCTTTTAATGCGGCATTGCCCATCAGGTCATCTCATTCTAACCATTAGTTCAATGGGAAAGGTGCTACCTAGCCTCCCTTTTGCACCGGTGTGTATTTTCATTGTCAACATTGGATGTAGCTCGGTAGGGGCTTCTGACTCCCAAAGTTCTATTTGCAGTGGATAGTTCCGTAGCCACCCTTTAATTATCGTTGATTGCATTATTTTTAATAATATTTCTGGTTTAGTGGGCAACTGGTGCTTTAAATTGTTGTTCCTTCCCTGTTTTTTAAGCTTGCAATCTTTTAATTTGTCGTGTCTATTTATCGTAATTCAAAGTGTGGCTATCGCAGAAATTTTGATGCACTATCTCTGCTCTTCATTGCCTTTGCTGCTTTCACTGACAGCAGTTGTCCAATTGTTTTACTTCAAAGTAATGACCAAAAGGAAATTTGTTCCTCTCTTCACTGAAAGTGGCACGGGCAGTAGTACGGCTGTGCTTTTGCCGGGTCGTCATCCGTGCCAGTGTCTCGCCGTTCGTCACCGCCTCATAGGCAACTGCACCAACTGCGGGCGGATTGTTTGCGAACAGGAGGGCTCGGGTACCTGCTACTTTTGCGGCCACTTAGTGATGTCTCCAGATGAGCGGAAGCGCCTGCAGGCGGGCACCAACGCGGCACGAAAGCTTTTTGAGCAAATTAGGTCGGCTGCCTGGGCTTCTGGCACTCCCACACCCCCTTGGGTTACTCGTAGACATCGACGAAAACGACACAACAAAGTCCGTAGCGGTAATTCGGAAGACGATAATGTGGGCGAATATTCAAAGAAATCATTTGATGACTTGGGCACGGAGGAAGTAATGGAAGAAGTGGAAGACGTGGACACTCTTCCTCCTGATATCGACGCCCAGACGCGTTTGGAAGAAGGTATTTCGGCCCATTCTAGTAGCTTTACCACGATCTGGTAGGTCTGGTAAAGGCGATGCTGCAGCGAGATCGATTGTTACACTTTGACGCGACAACAGCTAAGCGCACCCGGGTGATAGATGACGAGTTAGACTACTTTGTTAGTGAGGGCACTGGAGCGGCAGCGGTGTGGCTGGACCCGCAGACACGGGCGCGAGTTGCTCGTCGAGTAGAGGAACTGCGTGAGCAGCGACGCCTTCTCCGCTCACAGTCTGTGTTTGGACTCAGCATCGACTTTGCCAACATGACAGTCACTGAGCAGGTAAGTGAGCCAATTAGTGCTTTGGAAGGGTATATGGACGGAGGAGTAGATGGGCCCAGCTTTGCTTTCTACCAAAACACGAGGGGCGTTTAGGTCACATTGAGACTTTTGAGTTTACTGAAGAAATGTAAGGAGTTTTAAGGAGTGAAAAGTGAGTTTTTATGACATATTCATCCGCAACATTAGTACCTTGCATTTAACGAATACGTAGGATTTTGAAACATCCTAGGACACTGCGCCACTTCCACGTCGGCGGTGAATCGTCATTCCCCGATGCACATTGGCATTATGCTGCGACATAATGCCCGCAAGTTAGCTGCGTGTAATTGTGCGATCTGGAAAAATTATGGCTTTAGCTGTCCAGGTACTCTGTGACGTCGGTGTAGTACTCAAGTTTTCTGTACTAGTCACAAACGGAGGGATGTTTTGGTACTCAGCATACCCTAACTTGTCGTCGCTAGCTTCCGCGAATGATGCCGCTAAATGTTCTCACAGGAAGATTTGTCTCTTGCGATATTTTAACAGAAATTATCGATCAGTTAGGCACTGGGGATCGGCCATTCCACAGACTAGTTCGACGTTCACAGGAGTGACCACTGTGCTGTGGGCTGGTAACCACGACGATCGAGAATAGTAACTGATGCATAAGTGCATGCATTAGAGTGTTTGGATCGTCCAACCGTCTTACTCATGGGTGGCGGAGCAAACCGTCACCGTCCTCTTTTGTGCGGTGGCGTGGCATGACGCGACGTAGTGTGGTTAAAGTTCTCCGTTAACACGAGTAGATAGTCTTTAGTTGGGAGAAACCTCTCCAACCTTAGTAGGGTGCTGTCAGTGCGAAATGGCATAGTTACTTGTGATGTGGATGAGGGGTGGACGGACTGATCCTCGACATGTGTGACGGTAAATGTTGGTAGTTCACACTTCGCACTCACCGCCTCGTATAGTACCGCCACAGTGGGAAGCTATTACCCTTAAGCTGTTGTTAGCATGACCGTAACCGGATCAGTGGGGTGGGCACGCGAGGTGGGTGCAAAGTCGAGGGTGAGAGTGGAGGGAGGAGTCTTTCAGCGCATGGTTGTCCCCACCTCTACAGGATCTGCGTGGGTCGAAGCCAGCACCGACTGAAGAGGACCTGGCAGAATTGACTCTACGGAGTCAAAAGCATGACAAACAATCTACCTCAGGCATCTCTGATCCCCTTCTGAATGTACCCACTCCACAGGCAAGTCCCATTTCTGCCTGCCTCTAGCACAACTGCCATTGTCACTCAATCACAGGCTGCTTGGTGTCCTTCTCCGTTCTTTTAGTTTATGTCTCAGTCCCTCCAATTAAAAGCCGCTGAGAGGCAGGTGGGAGTGAAGGAGATGCAACCTTCTACACGCTTGCAGTCATCCAGGGTGCAGGATGCCGATCAACAGAAGGTAATTGACCGTGGTGTCTGTGTCAGCATGCACCAGCCCTGGGCCTCCTTGCTGGTTCGGGGCGTAAAAATGTGAGTGTCTTCCCGATGCATGCTCGACAATTCATTCGTTTGATCCGTATAAAATATGGGGATATGTACACCTGTTCAAGCGCTTCTCTGCCTCATTTGTTTTTAATCTAGGGATTCGTGTTCAAGCTGGTGCATTTGCGTGTCCGAGAAGCACTTTACGCACCTTCAAGATTATTCACTTTTTTTACGGTAACTTGCTAAAATGATACTAGAAGAACATCAATCTGTGAGCAATAAAGTTGAACCGGGAATTTTGACACCACAAATGTACAATGCATTTTATCATTGCGTTCCTGTATACAGTGGTAGCACCTACAAGTGCATCCCACCATAATGACTAACAGTCGTCAAGCTTGTCGTGAGTCAGTTTAGACACCCTTTATTCACGTGGCAGAACATGGTGCCAGTGTGTTCATGTAGCAGCCTGCAACGGGTGGTGCAGTCTCTTACCCGAACTCACGTATATGTACTTGTGTCCACGAGGAACCTTGATCATAGTACGGCGCAAGGGAGCATGGGAGCAGGTTAATTTGCCACTCAAAAGTAAGACGGTTGAACTACTCGAACGCTTCAATGATAACCACGCGTTCATACCTGACTGATGAATTGGTAGTCACGATTGCTAATGCACATCACAGCAGGCATTCCTCTAAACACCTGGCCAGTACATGGAATGCAGGTCTGATCCAGACCGCCCAATTGGTGTGCGACCACGTTGAAGTTGTCATGATTAAAACAGTCAGTAAACGGCTGCCGTCATTTGAAAGGGTTGAGCTAATTTAATCTCAATCGTTGTATTTCGAAGCGGTTTTGTAGGTCTTCGACGAACGCTGGAACAAGGGTATGTGTGTAGGCAAGGACAAAATGTGCACTGATTACAATACTATTCCTCACTCACACCCTTAGTAGACTCGAAGTTCTCGGCTTGATTTGAGCGTCTCTGGTTTTCCCCTTTCTAGCTCCTTTTCGCTTCATTAAATGAATAAAGGCATAAATGATAGTTCTTGCGGAATTTTTGTTACAATCGAGGTGTATTAGGAGGAAACACTCCTTTTAACCCATGAATCACATTCATTTTGCATATGCACTTCCACGTGTTAGTGTTATGACCTTGTCTACTCGTGGTTAAACATGGAGTCTCGGCATTTTTCGCGTTCACTTATTCTTCAATGCCTCCAACACTCGCATTACCGAACTGACCAGTGTGATTGCTGCATTAAGTCTGAAAAAGATTATCTATTTATGAGACTCGAAACATCCTGCATCCATTGTGCCAATCTCAACCAACCTATATTTACGACACGACTTATGACTACCATTTCTTGCGATGGGATGAAGATCACATTGCATACACGCTTTTGTGACGTGCAGGCTCATATGAGAGCGCTGAGTGTTGTACCGACGTGATGCTGGTGGTATACGTGCTATCAAGGGGTTTTCTCACACATCCTCCGTTTTTCACTTACACCCTCAATCGCTTGCTTCCTTTTCCTCCCACTGGAAATGAGCTCAGTCACGAGGGTCGTTCGTGGTACTCGGCGCACCGGGGACCTCTTTGGATTGCAGCTACTGCAAAGACACCCGATGAGGAGGAGGTTCGCGCGATAGAGGAGGCTTATCTGGAACGAGGTGAGTTAGTTGATTGGCATCCCTTGTCGCTTTGGTGAGCACCTATTTTTTGCCTTTGAGGCTAACGTATTGCTGATGGCATCACTCACTGTTTTGGTCACTCGTTATCTTAAAATCTTTCAATCCCTTTTGACTTCTGCGTGCTTATCTCTTTTAAAATTGGTTTATATTTGGATTCTACGAACGACGCGTTTATCACCTACTAGAAGAGGCACATCACCCATACCATTCTTCTGTTATACTTTCTCCTGTCATTAAATTCACCTCCAACAGAGTAGGAGTGCTTCAAACCAGGTATTAGAGTTTAGGGTTTTTTTTCAGCGTCGTCTTCCTTTTAGGCCCAGAGTGAAGTGTCATATTTTTGTCCCTAGTCCATTGTGGGTGTTTCACACCAAACTTCTTCATATTTGGCCATAATCGATCCTCCTTTGGCAACCACAAGGTCAGTATCGCGTAAAGAAAAAAGGGTTATTCGCAGCGTTTGCCTTTAGGTACCAGAAAAACGGATTTTCCAACTTCGTATCCCACAGGTGTTCTTTTGGGTTGCGTCAACGTGGATGATGTCCTGCCACAGAAGGAATACCGTTTAAAGGTATGTCATGGTTTTTTTGGAAATAGACTTAGAGTATTTCATGATGTGTTTTCCAGTCAGGTAGAGACTTCTGATTCCACAAATTTAAGTCAGTGCACATTTGATCTCCAACTACATACACAAACTTGTTCTATCGTTCATCTATTACTCGAAAGCCTGCTCTGGTAAAAGAAGCTTTGTTGATTTGACCAAACCATCCTGTGACACTCTAGTGTACGGATTACAAGTGAAAAAGTATTTTGGTATCTAGCAGGAGTCAACTTTCCCAAATGCCAGCATTTCGTGATTAATTGTGCTCACCGTTGCAGCTTCAGCATAGCCTGTGTGCCAATTGGGCGGCCTGGCCGACGCATTCATTTCGCGCATTAGCCTGATGTTCACTGGAATGACTGCTGTGCTGCAGGCTGGTACTTGTGACGACTGCGATCGTCACTGACGTATGCACGCACGATTTTGAGCGTTCAACTGCTTTACTCCTGAGCAGCGTATTAACCCATCACCGTGATGTTTCGTGCCGTGGTGTGGCGTGCTGCAGCATGGTTAAAGTCTTTTGCAGACGCAAGCCTTTTGCAAGTTTAAATTGTACACCATTGTTATGAAGAAAGCCCGATTCTCGTCACAGGCTTTGCTTGTGCGTGGTGGCTCAGCTGCTTGTCATGTGGATGAAAGGTGTATGTATCGGCGCTCGACATGTGTGACGTCTATTGGTCATATTTCGCACTTACCGCTCACGGTTTCTTGTGTTGCTTATGAAATTGCTACAATGAAGGGCTATTGCTGTCGGAGTGGTGTTGGTTAGCGCGGTCGTAACCAAGTTGACGAGGCGAGCGCCTAAGGTTTGAGTAAAGTCAATGGAAAGAGCGAGGTGGGAGGAGTGTATCTCACCTCATCAACGTAAATTACAGGGTAGTCGTGCGAAGAGGTAGAGGGGGTGACTTGAACATCCTTTACTTCCGTCCTCCTGCATCGAATACGTTACACGGTACTTGTTGCCTAGTAGCAATATTTGGACGCCACTAGAAGTCTTTTTATTTTCACCCCTTTCTGAGTCACCATGGTGGCATTTCTTGAAAGTCTTATCATAGTACAACGCATCGTTTTTGTTACCATGGTTAGTTCCCTAGCGGCGAATCCGAGAGTGCCTACGTATTTGTCTGCTCGGATCCTCGTGAGCTGCTCATCAAGTTGCCACTAAAGGGACGGCAAAGAATCTGTACGTTTCGATATTCTTATTTGTTTTTCTTTGATTCAAAAAATTCCAAATCAGGGCGCTGTTAGAGTTTGTCCTATTGGGCGTCAACAATTTGCAATGGAACGGTAAATGCGACAGTTAAATCACTGCGTAAATACGAGGTGGCGTAAGAGGCGCATCACCTGTCAGGCACAATACTTAATGGCTTCCAATATTTCGGCCTGGCAGCTACGATTTAAGGCGACGAAACGCTAGACATGTTGCAGCTCCTTGCCTTTTATAATTTTTTTGGATATTATTGGGTGTTATTCGCCACTCGCATGTGTTCTCTTCCTCTTTTGTTAGACCGTCTCGAGGCGCATATTCATGCGGCAGCTAAGGAGAACCTCACGTGACTGTCTTACACGACCTGACAAGTGGATTCCTTAGTTTGTTTTCCGATTTTTAGAAAAATTTTTCTTTTGAACCACCTTGGAGACTTTTCACTGAGGCTCTTTTATGCTGATTAACTGAGGTTGTCTTGTAACGGCACACCGGATGAGATCATTTTCGGTTTTGCATCAGTGTTGCATTTCGGGGATTTTGATGAGTCAGCGGCCTTGACCCGCCCCACATGAACGGCTCAAGATCAAACGATATGCTGCAGCTATCCCATTTGGCGGTTTGATCATTATTTTGGGCCCACTTGCCCAAGAGTGGAACCACTAAATCAAGTGCATAAGATGGATTTACGAAGCTAGTGTTGGACGTCCGTCCCTTCTCATCACCTCATTTCCATTTCATGATTGTCCACCCGTCTGTCTGAGTTATTTTATAGTTCATGGAAAGTCTACGTAAATATTTAAGGCAGCTTCAATAAAAATCGTCCTGTGGTTGTTCCTCAGAACGCAAAATTAGGTTATTTTAAGAATCAGTATGTCTTGGGCAGCCCTTCCGCAATGAGTCGGGGAATATTTGTCCACCTACAGCAAATGTCTTCCCTTCCTCAGGCTGCTTTTAAGCGTTGTCCAGCTTTTAGCAATCTTTCTTGTGAGTTCTCCAATGTAGTTCGCTTCTCGAGGGCCGCAACGTTCGAGCCGCCCGGGGGAATTCACCATGGATAACATTAAAATGGGCAGTTCTCTCACTGTAATTCACCTTTGTCAAAATTACCTCCGTGCGTGTCTTATGTTTCATTGAACCCAAAGGGAGGATTGATGCCGTTCGGAGGGCGCTGTGTGACAGCGCTTCAGCAAAGAGTGGAGGCTCTGTCCTTGCGTTTGGAAGGAGGACGACTCTGGTCAGATTAGTGCTAATCTTCAAAATTGGTTTTGAAATGTCGGGACACCTGCTACGAGACTATTCTCTATCCGAGTTAAGTGCGAGGATGGGCAGAAGCCTAAGAGAAGAGTAGGCTTGATGATATGCCCTGGGTGGGTGGTGAATGCTCCTTTAACAAATCCTTAAATGAAAAGCAATTTTGAAACAGATGGACAGTGAGAAGTCGAAAAAGTTTAAGGGCTTGAAGAAAAGCATTGGTCTTGGAGCAAAAAATAGTGTTTGGGAAAGTGACGAGGAATGTGGATGGACTGACGTATGCGATTTTGGTAAACCTCATAAATGAGTTTCCCTGTTTCAGATTTTGTGCAGCACCTTGTTTAACCCTTTAACTTGTCCCTTCTCTTGGTCCTGATGGATGAATCTGCCAGTAACCTGCCTCATACCAATATATTTTAAACTCACAAAGGGTGAATGGGTTATGCCTTGGCAGGGGTTTGGTTGTCTTGTGAGTTTTCCTTTGTGCAACGTACAACGACTGTGGAGAGGTTCTTTCCGTTAGGAGCCTGGAGTAGCCCGATTATGAAGGCAAGGTAGTTGTGACGCCGACTAATCAAAAGATCTTAGCCTCAATGTGGATGACTTTATTGTCCACCTGCCATGGGTGTCCCCACTTAATTGGTGGCTGATTACCGAAGGAGTCTCTTTCGAGTGTTGCAGACATACCTTCCTTAACAGAGCCCATCATTGCATATTGAGAACAGAGAAAGGTGTTTTTTAATCAAGTGGAATTGCAAACTGGATAACAAGGGACATACAAGTTTCCAAATCCGCCGTATGCAAAAACCCAGCCTTTGTTGGTCCCCTCTTTGCCTCTTTTTCTCGTTGTAACTGCCTATTTTGAATGTGCTCAAGCGACCGCATTGTGCAAGTAAAGACGGGACATCGACCTCAGTCCGGGAAGTCGCCTTACTCATGAGTGTCAACTTCTAAAGCGTTGCACCATTTAAACCACCGTGCCATCCAAACTCTACTCCTGAAATGGTTCGGACTGTAGGTAACTGCAAAATGCCTGATGCCGGAAAAATCGCCGTCTTGAAAGACCCACGAATACTTTTCACTTTTCCCTTTCGCCAATTTAATGTCATCATTGACTCATTTCCAACATCAGCTAGTCGACATATTGAAGCTCATTGCTTTTATAAATGTTGTAGAAGCTGTAAGGATTGATTCACCGTTTGAAAGTCCTCATCTACCCTGCTGCTAGAGCATTTTGAAGTGAGTATCCATGCGGCAGCTAGGAAAACTTCACATGACCGTCTCCCATGATCTGACAAGACGATGATTCAGTTTGTTTACCAATTTCTAGATCTAAAGTCCTTACGACCTACCTTGGAGGTCCCAATGGAAGCGTATTTTGGACTGGTCAAATGAAGTGGTCTTGCAATATCGCATAAGGCGAATGCATTTTCAGCCTATCATCAGTGTTAAATCTTGCAGATTTCAAGGTGAGCATTTTGTTTCCCTTCCATCATGAACAGGACAAGTGAAATGGTCTCAAGATCGAACGATGTGCTGCAACTACCCAATTTGATGCAACAATCTTAATGGTAGCCCACCTGCTCAAAAGCAGAGCCGCATAGTGCAGCCTGTAAGGTAGGCTTAAAAAGCTGGTTATATGTCGACTCTAACAGTCACTCAACTTGTAATTAATGTTGCCCGGTCTTCTCTCTCACTTATTTCATGCCTCAATGGCGGTTAACGTAAGTACTTATGGTAGCCGAACCAACAAAAGTCCTCCAGTTGTCCTTTAACACAAGAGATTAGGGTATCTTTCAAAAGCATATGTAGAGTTGCTAAACATTCTTCATTGATTTGCAGCATATTTATCCACCCACAACAAATGTCTTGCGCCACAACGCTTCGAATTGGAATTCAGACGAATCCGACGAGATAGGAGACATTCTTCGACTTGTAGGCCTTATTCAGATCAACCTGGAAAATCCGTAGGTCAGCTACAGCAAAAAGACAGAGAGGATCTATTGCGCTACCCCAAGCGAATGGATTGGGTAACAGACGTAATGTGTCACAACTCGTCAGCCCGGCACCTTTCATGTATACTGCAGATAAGAGCCTAAATTCGCAAATCTGACTAAGTCGGAAGCGAGTGATTTGGAGTTGGTCAGCGCACCACCGAGTTTCAGCGTGGCAGAGGCATTTGCAATGACCTGTTTTGCAAAAATAAATCAATTTGGAATTTTATATTTCGTTAATCTTAACACTTTCTGTCCATTTTTATAAAATTCAAACAGGCAAATTAGACAAAGAGCATCGCTGAGTGAACTGGGCCCGCGAGTATTATAGGCTTTGAGGCAATGAAGGCCATCAAAGCCTTCGGCACACGCACGCAGATATAAGGTGTAGCGTGCAAATCCACACAAGATTTCATTAAAAACTACCTTACCCCACTCGATCAAACATTAGTTTTCTAAAGTTACTCATCGTTGTGTCTAAACGGACTGTTTCTAAGCGGGTATAACAGGTGCGTGAAATACCACAAAATCCGGTAATTAACAGATATGTAGTACGATGGTTGTTTACCCCTCGATATTGGTGAGGCGCCACTTTTAAACTTTCGAACTTACCTTCCTGTACCTCACCGGGTGGGCTGGCCTTCGGGCTGCGCCATAAGTCCAAACACCTTCTCTGTGCTGAATATATATATTCTGTTCGAGTATCGTGTCTTCTTTCGTCTTCAGGGAAGTCTCGGGACGCTGCAGGTATGGTTCGGGTCCTTGGGTAGCATTAATAAAGGACCCAAAGCCTCACTTATAACTAATGATTTATTTTGCCACTTCTTTGCTATTGAGTCTCAATGCTACTTGAAAGCTTAAGGTGTGCTGCATAACAAATTTGAAAGAGCCACATTCCATCCACATTAACACGCTGATCAAATTCAACCAATCTTCCTCTGTTGTCAGGGCATATTTTTATAAGTTTTGCAAATCTGACAGTTTTGGCATTATTTAAAGGTTATTAGCAGGGCTTTTAGCTTCCAACGTTAGTAGCCCATGTTTTGTTTATTATAACCATCAACCTTGAAACTATACCGAATTAGGGTGATTGTAGTGGTAGATTCTGCATGTGGGGTATGTAGGTGCTAGTTATTTTATACGTGTATATGTTCTAGGTTTTTCTGGTTATTGTTACGACCCAAAACATCACAGTTATGTGAGAATTCCAGGCTACCTAGACGCATCATTTGTTTCGAAAACTGGGTTTGATAAAAAAAATATAATACGAAACGCCTCACAAGCAGGACGCAAATTAAAGTCTGCGCTTGCTCAGCGACAGTCACAGAGCTTTGTTCAAGGATGTGAGGATATTACACTTTGGAGACGTCCCTCCAATCCAGGTATGTTTCCATGTAGGTTGATAATGTTCTAAGTAATACAGCATTGTTCTGACAATACATCTCTTTACCTTAGACCTGACCATGAAAACGCGGGTCAAATGCTTGCACCGTAGGCAAAGATTGCAGCTGGGTCCCTTTCGTGTTATTCCAACTGTCGTCGAAACTTATTCCTCTACCACACTTCAACTGGTCACAAATCGACTGCTACATTATCGGCTGCAACGATACGAAGTAAAGTGGAAGGAAGATCAAAACGCTTCGGAAGAATCTGGATTTAAAGTCATCGAAACAACTAGACGTGGTCATAGCATAGGCTACCTTAGTTGCGTAGATGCAATGATGGAGCATTCAACAAACGACATCATCTGTTTGTGTTCTAGTACACTGGCCCTCATGAGATATGACCGTACGTTCTGGGTAAAAACTCACATGTTTTCTAGGGGATGCGAGGATTTACCGATTGCTTCGAACCGCTGAAATTCCTAGACAAAATCTGCGTTCTGTCTTTGCTCGAGGAGCCTTAAGATCCTACGTTACAGCATTGGATTCGCAGTGGCAATGTGAAGAAGATCCTATTGTAATGTTCTATAATCACTGGACAATATCCACTTATGGTTCAAAACTTGAAAACTTGCTAACAATATCCGAGCTACAAACGATGCCCCATGTATCTCTTTCCAGTTACCACTCACAGCCTGCTTTTACTGCTGTGGGCAGTGCTGCTTACTTGCTGAATACGAGAAAACAA